CCCCAAAACCCCAAAACCCCAAAACCCCAAAACCCCAAAACCCCGCATCAATTATATATTATTAATTTTAAATGAACATTCCCATTAAGTCCAAGTAAGACTAGTTATTCTTAACCATTTGGAGCCTCTGATTTCTTCTGAGATCCTATAAAATTTTAGTAAGGGTCTCATGAAAGTTCTTTGAATAAATATTTAGCAAGTTGGTGCGTTCATAATATTAGTGATTGAAACTATAACTTGCTAAGGTTATTTATAATACTGCATTTGCGCTGAATTTTCATTCCTTAAAATTCTAATAAAGCTTGAACCTCTATATAAGAAAGTAAATTTTAATCAAAATTTTTAAGAACAATTGATCTGCTGAATTTTAGCATACTTTGTAGGTTTAAAATATTACAAGTTGATAAATTATTTATTACTTCGTTCCTTATATTCAATTTTTAAGGTAATATATTTTTTTGCATTAGTAGCAATTTTAGTATTGCATCAAAAATTATTAAACCTTACCATATTTACTGTCAGCAGCTTATGAATAAACTTGAGACCAACCTCTTTTATTGGCAGTTTTAAAATAATTTAGCATTTTCCAGTCTCTTAAGTTGTTCCAATATTCCTAAAGGCGTAAGACCTTAATTAAACTTTTATTTTTTATAAATAGTAATGCAAAATGTCACAACAATATCAAGTATACTCACTAGCTTAAAAACTTGAGAAATAGATCTTTACATTCATAGGTTGCTGGTGTCGATAGATCAAGCTCTAATAATTCCGATTATAAATTTTCAAAGATTTCTCCTTGATGAGGTCACCAATCATAACTAAACCTCTGTTATAGAGAACCCTCTAAGACAGGAATATCTCACTACAACTACAAATATCAGCCCAAAAGGAATAAAGGAATAGCAAAGTGTAGTTTCACCCTAGTTAAAAGAGGTAGGTCTCCAAAAGCCGTAGGAGTTAGAAAATTGCAAAGATTTAACTTTAACAGACCAAACAAATAAGCACATATCCTAAAAAATAGTTAAGAGAAGAAAAATATTAAAACCTGCTCTTTTTGCGTTAAATCAATTAAATAGTGTCGTTTCCAGAACAGTTTTATCAACTCCAAACCAAAATTAGTGAAATTAATGTTTCCAAAAATACGCAGAAATTGGAGGTATTAACCACCCTCCCTGCTTTGCTCTAATTTATAAACCTTTGCCCATGCTTATTTCTTGCAAAAGTAATGCTTCTTTGTAGGGTCATTAAATAGTCTGAATATCAAGAAGCAAGAAAATGAAGACATAATGAAAGTATTAGAAAATTATTAAAAAATAGGACCAGAGCTTCAGCTCTGACAAATTTACTATTGTACAAGATAATCAAGTTAGAGAGTATGATGAGTCAGAGTGTGATGTAACAGTTGATGAAACGAGTAATTTAGTATTATTAAATATAGTTGGAAACAAGTTCAGCAGAATTTTGAACACAGTATAGTTCTTCTATAAATCCTAGAATCGAGAAGAAGATAATAAACGGATAATGTCGTTAATATCAAAATTCGACGAGAAAAAGCCAAACTACGAATCGATGAGTAAGTAAAAATGTTTTATTTTAAGTTTGAACAACTCCTAAAAAAATAGACAGAGAGGATGTTGCAACTGAGCAAAGTGCCAAAACAAAATTTAAATACTTCGCAGTAAGAAGCATTTACTCAATTAATTTTTAGGGGATAAATAGAAATAAATCGAACAAAGATTCAGGCGAACTAACAGACAAAGACAAACACCAAAGTATATTCTCCCATAAAATAAAAGAGCTCTCTGAATGAAATAAGATTCAAGATAAGAACTTAACTCTGGAAGAAATACTAAATTTATCTGAACGAAAAGATAACTATTCTGGAGAAAGGTTCCAGAATATTATTAAAATTGCAAAATAATGATCCGATGTTTGATCTTAACAGCGAACAGAAGCCATCGAATATTCTTAGAAAGTAAACTTTGATATATCTTCCCAATAATCACCCTTTAGAATGGTCCATAAAATAGAATCATATCAAGGAGGTGGAGCCGAAACAGATGTTCTAGTTGATGAGCTTCAAGTAAGGTGGCAAAATAAGTGATAGGATATGATTAAGAATTACAAAAATTCAAATCCCCACTCACTTGTTAATGAATTTGAAAACAAGTAAGCTGATTCCTAAATTTTAGGAAAGCCCAAGTAAAGAAAAGTTCAGAAGCAAAGGCAGCCAGAATAGAATTTAAGAAAGTAGACTATCACAAGAGTATTGGGAGTATGGGAAGGTAAAGTCTACTTTTAGTCACCGACTTATAATTCCAAAGTTAGTTCTAGATTGATTATTTATGATATCAAAATCTGATCTATGTTTTATGATTTGAGCCTTCGATTATATATTCTTACTACTAAATTATAGAAAGAACAAGTTAGCAGGCTGCCACATCTCAGAAGGAATCAAGGCATCTCAATATTACAAGCCAAAGGTATTTGACTTAATAATAGACTAGAGAGTACTGTTTACTCTGGCTAAAGACTGTAAAACCAGAGCAAGGTTCAAAAAGAGTAAGCCGAGGAGAGTTGTCAGATTTGACTGAGAGGAGGAAAAATAGACTTGACGATAAAGAAAAATCTAAAAGAAATATCTTTGTAAGGTCCAAATCTCTAGACAGAAAGTCAATAGGCAGTGTGCCAGCCATAGTAGTGGAAGTAAAAAGTGTTGATAAAGTTCAACCACCTAAGCAGCCCGAGAAAAGATTGCATAAGAATAATTTAAGTGAGAATAAAGAACCTCCAAAAGCAGCCGTTTGAGATCTATCGCTCTCAAACAAAAAGCAAGGGTATTCTACTTATAATTTTTAGATGAATGAAATGGAAATAAAATTAAAGCAAACCAACGAAGAGAGTCGAGGTTTACAAGAAGTATAGGGTAAGATGTGCAATAACAAAATTAGTGGAGCAGAAACTATCAGTTTAAAAGAACCTTTATCAAGCAGAGATAATCGAAAAACTAATTTCATAAGAATGGGCGGAGAAAGTTCTACCTCAGATGATGAAAATTTATCCTTTTCAAAGACCAATTTTAAATCAGATACCAAAAGAAGGAAATTCTTAAATAGATGATATCAAGTCGAAGCTAGACATCTTTATAGATTAGAGAAAAGTATGAATAGAAGTGAGAAAAAGAGTCCAAATAGAGAATTAGTTTCTCTCTATAAAGCTATTCAAAGTAAGACCTTGGTATTTTTAATATTATTCGTCCAATCACACAAAATTTAGGAGTGAACAAGGTAGACTTGTACGAAACAGTTATAAAAGAAAAAATAATGGAGAGCAGATGGGATAAGTTTCTAAATGAAGCATATACGAATCCTTTCAGATTCGGTAAATAACATTCTTAGTCATTATTCAACATAGTAACAATTTTTGACAAATAGATCCTCTTAATTTCGTCATAATTTATTGAAAATTACGTTTCAATAAAAAATTTTTGACCTGGGGTTTTGGGGTTTTGGGGTTTTGGGGTTTTGGGGTTTTGGGG